TATTATTATTGTGTATGCACATGTGATGATTAACGGGTGTGGTTTTTGTAATAAGATATTTGAGACTTTGTGAAGTTAATCATTATTGTTATTTTGGCTGTGATCCTGTTAAACTGCCCCACGCTACAATATTGCACGCGGAAAACAATTTTTTGAACAAACTGGGTTCTTCACTCCAGGGCAAAAAATTATTTTGTTAGCCTAGTACAGGAAGTTGTATTATATGAATTCAGAAGTTTAGACTCTTAATTGCTTATTATTGGTATTCTAATGAGCTTAATATTATGTGCTACTTGCAGTCATCTAACTAACAATGAAATATAAAAAATTAAAGAATATATTGCTATCTACTACACATGTAGTTGAAAAAGTTCAGATACACTCAATAATATAAGTTATTTTATCGTAATAACACAAACTGATAAGCAAAGACAAACTTTATAATCATTGTCACTTAGTACACACAACACAAGTAATAGCTCTATTGTTAACATAAGGTGGACAAGGTAGACCATTACAGGTTAATACTGTGAAATAGAGAAAAGCAGCATCGATATCAGCCCCACTACCATCAACAGATTCAGGATATTCATCAACGCATTCATAAACTTTGTTATATGCATGATTATGTCGTTCAGTCATCAGATATCCTTTATATTCTATAGTCCATGATGAAGGACAGCTGGTTCTAGCAGGAATCATCAGTTTAACACTCTTAGTAGATGTATAACATACTGCACAAGGAGCATTGTGATTATGTTGTCCTGAAAATATAATATTAAAAACTTCATATTCAGTACCATACATTTGAGAGTATAGATTAGGTACACTTGTACTCATATATTGAGGAACCTTTGGTAAACAGACATAGTTAGCTCCTCCTCCTGATTGAGCCTCCAGTTATTCCCTCATACAGTAGTTCAGCTCCAGTAGGACAGGACTTCCTTCCCCAACGAGTGTACACTACTCCTCCACTTTTAGGACCAGCTTGTCCTACAGGTCCACTTTCACCTTTCTCTCCTTTCTCTCCCTTATCTCCTCTCTCTCCTTTCACTCCATCTCTTCCTGGTACTCCATCACGACCATCTCTACCACGTAATATTTGTAGATAAACCTCCTTCACATTAGTTTCATTAATGTATCCTTTGCTTGTTGACACAGATGATGATCCTTTATTAATAATGATAATACAAACAAAATAAAGACTCATTTACCTTTGATTGTATTTTCATTAGTAGATACAATAGTAGAGAGAGTAGTAAGTATAAGAACAGATACCACTATAAGGTTCATTGTTCCAGTCAGTCTTATAATGATTTTAATGTAGACTAGATGTACTAGTTTATAGCTGGTAGTGAGTGAGTGTATTTTATAGTGTTAGTAGTATCTTTTTGTCGTTAGTCTTTGTGTGATGTTTGCGCTCATAATAGATGAGTTATTACAATAGCCGGCTGGTGGATAAGACTTATGTGAGTCCTTACTTGGCCTCTTAGTGCGGCTAAATATGTCACTAGTAGTTATTGTTGTACATTGTGAGAATTGGGTATTGATTGTTTTTTGATAATTGAATGAGTAAATTTGTTAATAATACTGTCTATTTTACTCTTTTGATATCTAGTTTTATGGTGCCCTTGCTTACATGCTATAATGTTTAAGTAATGCATATTATATATAGTGTTACCATTGTGATGATAATCATCAGTCACTAGATTATCTAAGTCTTCTTTTAATAATAACATTACCGCCTTCCTTTCTTTATATAGTATTTCCTACAGTTTTTTTCTTTTGTGGTTCTTATGCATATCTGCTAGCAAGTGTTTGTTAGATCTGCTGACTATTAAATCAATAGCTACTTGATGCATGTTTAAATACACATCAGTGACATGTTATTATTTTAATTTTAGATTACATGTCATGATATTTGCATCTGCTGTGTGTATATGATTTGTTTGATTGTTGTTGCCCTTAATGAAAAGGATGAAATGACTGCTGTTTTAACATTGGACAGTATAATGGGTGAGTGAACTCTCTCGTCACTTTCCCTCTTTGGTATGATCTTTGTAACATAATGGGTCATTATTGATTGACATAAAAGCCTAATTTTAAATAGGATTCATATTATTTGGTTTTGTGTACTTTTACAAGTTAATTTAGCCATCACCTATGCCTTTTTATTGATTATTATGTACATTATTATAATGCTATGTGTGCATAGTCATTGTGTTCTTATGAGAAAAATGATCTACATTATTATTATTTTGGGATAGCAATTAAGTCACACTTGCACCAACAATCAATGTTTATTTTGTGAACAAACTAATACCATATAGCAGGTATATTCCATTGGATTTTTTTGTTTTCATTCCTTGTGGATCGAATGACTATTTCCCAAATAAGGGGTTTCTTCAATTCCACATTTGTAAAATCAGTTCTCATAATTAATGAAAATAAAGCAAACAAAAATCTCTAATCCTGCTTAGAATGAACATTTTTGCTGACAAAATAAAATACTTACTATACTGTATATGTGGGTATGACGAAGGTGAATATAAGTGGGTGTGGTTAGGTTGATGGTCAGTTAAGGGTTAATAAGAATTCATGCACATGCAGCTCTGTTATTATATTTTCTGCCTCAATGACTTTTTGAAACTTGTTCATTGTTGTAAGCACTGTCGTGTAGCCTGTAATTTAAAAGTGTCATTTTTATATATAGCATATGACCAATAGATCTAGTATCTGAAATTTTGATACCAAATTTTGTATTAATTTAACTTGACCATTTTTAGAAATTTATTTAATATTCATAAAATTATAAGGTATTTTCACTCATTGACATTAAAATGGAACTAATCATTATTAGCTTGTTACTAAAATACCTAGGCATAAATTTTATAATCACTCACTGTTATTAAGGTGTTACTTAGTACACACAACACAAGTAATAGCTCTATTGTTGACATAAGGTGGACAAGGTAGACCATTACAGGTTGATACTGTAAAATAGAACAAAGCACCATCAGTATTAGCCTCACTGCCAATGACAGATTCAGGATTTTCATCAACACACTCATAGACTTTATTGTGCCTGTGATTATAATAATGAGACATCAGATATCCTTTATATTCTATAGTCCATGATGAAGGACAGCTGGTTCTAGCAGGAATCATCAGTTTAACACTCTTAGTAGATGTATAACATACTGCACAAGGAGCATTGTGTTGATGCTTTCCTGAAAATGTATTATAAACATCATCATATTCAGTACCATACATGAAAGAATAGGCAGAAGGTACTTTTGTACTCATATATTGAGGGACCTTTGGTAAACAGACATAGTTAGCTCCTCCTCCTGGATGATTATACCATTCACCTCCAGTTATTCCCTCATACAGTAGTTCAGCTCCAGTAGGACAGGACTTCCTTCCCCAACGAGTGTACACTACTCCTCCACTTTTAGGACAAGCTTGTCCTACAGGTATAGTAGTAGTGAGTGTCAGTATTGAGAGCAACACTGAACACACAACTAGTGACCTCATTGGAAGAGAAAGAGACTAAGAGAGAGAGACTGAGAGAGAAATATAAGAGATTGATATTCTGTCACATGCACAACACTGCTGGTCTTTATATACTGATCCTGGTGTTATAATTAAGTTATAACCAGTAGACAAACCTGTTTAACCTGTTGATACCAATTGATATGATTCTAATTGTTAATGTTTCATTTACTTTTTATGGTCTGACATTGTTTATGTCTCTTGTAATAAAAACCTGAGTCAACCTGTTTGATGTGAGGCAGTTGTTATAAAGTCTTCTCTTGATAATAGCAGTTACCATTGATAGTATAATTAGTATAATACCTCATTGTATCACCAATCATTTCTTATTGAAACAGCTAGTGTATGTTCAATTTAATGTAGACTTTATGTAATGGAGTATTTATAAATTTTTTTAATGTATTTTTTGCAGATTAATATTTTGTAGTTTTAACGTCAAGTTGGAATGTAACTACTATGGAGACATGAGGTTTGTATACCTGTGATACAATAAATGTATTATGGCTTCTACTCTGAGTTTGAATGATACACATAGGTTAAGAGTAGTTTTGATGAAATTAATAGTGTTTCTACTTTGTGACACAAAGCAAAGTAGAAATTTGAACTTTATTGATGTCAATTGTAATTAAATGTTATGTAATGCTAGTGACTTATTTCAAAATTAGAAATCATTTATCCTAAATTTCAAAAAAGTACATCTTGATTTTATTTAATTGTCACTTGGTACACACAACACAAGTAATAGCTCTATTTTTAACATAAGGTGGACAAGGTAGACCAGTACAGGCTAAGCATACAAAATGTAACATACTGCACAAGGAGCATTATAATCTTCCTTTCTTAAAAAATATAATTATTATTAACATAATCATTATTCAGTATCAAACATGTAAGTTGAATACTGTGGTACTTTTTATTCATAATTGAGGGACCTTTGGTAAACAGACATAGTTAGCTCCTCCTCCTGAATGATTCCAGCGACTACCTCCAGTTATTCCCTCATACAGTAGTTCAGCTCCAGTTGGACAGGACTTCCTTCCCCAACGAGTGTACATTACTCCTCCACTTTTAGGACCAGCTTGTCCTACAGGTCCAGCTTCACCTTTCTCTCCCTTATCTCCTCTCTCTCCTTTCACTCCATCAGGACCATCTCTACCACGTAATATTTGTAGATAAACCTCCTTCACATTAGTCTCATTAATGTATCCTTTGCTTGTTGACACAGATGATGATCCTTAATTATAAATAATGACAATACAAACAAATTAAAGACTCATTTACCTTTGATTGTATTTTCATTAGTAGATACAATAGTAGAGAGAGTAGTGAGTATAAGAACAGATAACACTATAAGGTTCATTGTTCCAGTCAGTCTTATAATGATTTGAATGTAGACTAGATGTACTAGTTTATAGCTGGTAGGGAGTGAGTGTATTTTATAGTGTTAGTATGTCTTTGTTGTTAGTCTTTGTGTGATGTTTGCGCTCATAATAGATGAGTTATTACAATAGCCGGCTGGTGGGTAAGACTTATGTGAGTCCTTACTTGGCCTCTTAGTGCGGCTACATATGTCACTAGTAGTTATTGTTGTACATTGTGAGAATTGGGTATTGATATACTTTATTGTTGATAATAAAAGTTTTGTAAATAAGTTTATTAATTAAATATAACAGTAGCAGTAAGCCCTAATATTATAATACCATAGTATGTCAGTGTTACCATTGTGATGATAATCGTAATCAAAGTCATTCTTTAAACCAACATAACCTTATTCACCTTTTACTCCCAATTCTGTTGCAATTTTTCTTTCAGTCTTTATCATACTCAACACCTGAACACATTCTATTGGCTACACTAATGATTATGTCTAGGCTTTTTTGTGTGCATAGGGTATAACTATGCTACCTTACTCTTCAAAAGACAACAATTCTGAGGTTAAAAGCAACATTCTTGAGAATACCGAGATTTATAACTTTCTATTTAATTTTCTAATTATTTTTTACTACCAGGTTGCATCATGTAGTAAAATATAGGCTGGACTTTTTAGATTTATGTGTTATGATGTTTATGTTAACGAAAGCCTTCTGTTTTTAAGAATAAAGTCTATAGTTTATAATTCATGCATTGCTTTTCATGCATTTTGAATACGAAAACTGGCACACGAGAACACTGCACGTGCCTTTACCTTTTATCATAAAAATTTGTTTCTATGTATCTCTTTCTTAGAAAACAGTATAAGACTACACTCCTGTGTTATACCCTATACATGCACAACTGACATTATAGTTTATAGGTTGATTTGTGTGTATTGTAAACCAAATTTAACTCCTTTTCTTTGTTGTGGATAATTCTCACTGTCCATTGTAAATTTGAAATTAGAACATTTACACTAATAATGATAATACTCAGCATGAGTAGCTCTTTCAGTATTTTGCATAATATTATTATCTTCAATTATTGTACTGTATAACACGTAATTAAATGGTATTTTGTAGATCAAAAATTGTGAATTGTCCTAATTTGCTGTATTTTTATCTACAAAACTCATCATAAGTAAACAAAATGTTATACTCACAAAATATAATTGTTATATGGTACTTAATGCTCTTGTATAATGCTACCTAATATTGTGTTAAAAGGCATAACATATCTCTTGATCCTGCTAATACATAATGGCTTTCTATATTAATGTTCAAGAATAAATTTACATCATCTTGTTATAGCTTATTTACACTAATTTTAGAATCCAAGTTCATGATATTATTACTATTATAGTACACAATTTTTGGCCTCACCTACGCGAGGTATAGGTAGTTGTTGTGTGTGTCTGTCATTCATTCAGTATTCATGGTAGAAGGATCAATGTGGTTTTCAATTGAGCTTTCTCTCTGCATGTCTTTATAATAATACCTTATAGCACAAATTTTTAAAGGCTATAAATTTCAAAAATTTGCCCAAAAATCAATTTTTGGTTTTCAGGAGAGCCCGCTGTCTACCATTAATCATGAAATCCATTAAATTGACAGCCCTGGAAATTTTGTGCAGTATAATCTGATCACTAAATGATTCATTTTGTAGTCGACTTTTATAGCTATATGTTATACATTTTTTGCTTCTAGTATTTGGTATAATTGTCATAGTTGTCCAGTAACTATCCATGCATGGGCACAATATGATATCACTGCAAAGCAAAGTCAATAAAATTACTCACAACAAGAATTACTTTCAATAAGTAAAGAAAGTTACTTAGTACACATAACACAAGTAATAGGTCTATTGTTAAGATAAGGTGGACAAGGTAGACTATAACAGGTTGACAATGCAAAGCAAAGTTGTGCCCCATTATTATTAGCACCACTGCCATCAATAGATTCAGGGTTTTCATCAACACACTCATAAATTGCATTAGTCTTCTTATTAAAGCATTCAGCCATTAAATATCCTTTATATTCTATAGTCCATGATGAAGGACAGCTGGTTCTAGCAGGAATCATCAGTTTAACACTCTTAGTAGATGTATAACATACTGCACAAGGAGCATTGTGATTATCCTTTCCTGAAAATACACCATTTACATTATCATATTCCGTACCATAAATTTGGGAAAAACCAGAAGGTTCATAAGTGCTCATATATTGAGGAACCTTTGGTAAACAGACATAGTTAGCTCCTCCTCCTGAATGACCATCATAGTTACTGCCAGTTATTCCCTCATATAGTAATTCAGCTCCAGTAGGACAGGACTTCCTTCCCCAACGAGTGTACACTACTCCTCCACTTTTAGGACCAGCTTGTCCTACAGGTCCAGTTTCTCCTTTCTCTCCCTTATCTCCTCTCTCTCCTTTCACTCCATCTCTTCCTGGTACTCCATCACGACCATCTCTACCACGTAATATTTGTAGATAAACCTCCTTCACATTAGTCTCATTAATGTATCCTTTGC